AAAATAGACTTCTCAAGTAAAATAAATAAACATTAAAAGGAGATTGAAACAGTAAAGGTGTTTCTGTCAGAGCAGTGTGAGATTTTCTTGCTGTTGTGTTTCAGTCGGTGTGAGAATGAATCTCCTGAACCCAGCTCTGTGTCCATGAAGAGTGACCGGTCAATGAGTCGACCAATTGATTTCAGCTTGGCAGACTCATCTGCTGATCTGAGGTGTTGTTCAGCTTACATTATAAAAAAATATGTTTTTTATTCATTTACTGATGTGTATTAAATACATTAATACATATATCCAAACATATGCAATACTTGTTCAACTACAGTCAAAAACATGAAGGATCAGAATCAAATTCAGTAAAGAAGAACTTGGACTCCATTTTCAAGGTTGGTTTTGTGTGTGTGTGTGTGTGTGTGTGTACCTGGTATTTATCACGTTATGAGGACCAAATGTCCCCACAAGGATAGTAATACCAGTAAATGTTGACCTTGTGGGGTCATTTATTTGGTCCCCATGAGGAAACAAGCTTATAAATCACACAGAATAGAGTGTATTGAAAATCTGAAATAGCAGAATATTTTCTGCAAGGGGTAGGTTTAGGTGTAGGGTTGGTGTAGGGCAATAGAAAATGCAGTTTGTACAGTATAAAAACCATTACGCCTATGGAGAGTCCCCACAAAAAAATGGAAACCAGTGTGTGTGTGTTTCCCTTTTCACCTCTGGGTAAAAGTATTAAGACATCCTCTCTACAATAGTCACATTTACTTTCCCACTCAGCTAATACATGTAACGTCATATGGAGGACACAATAAAGCTGATCAATGACCAGTAGAGAAGTTAAATTCATATGTAATCCATATGACTGCTGCATCAAGATGAACATCATTCTAGCAAGCAGCCAATTGGTCCAACACCCTCCTTTAACCTCAGTATCTCTTTAGATGCTGATGTCTGAGGATTCAGTGGAAGTTATGAGCCGGTGTGATATAATTAAGTGATGTCTGTTAGTTTTTATGTTGTGCACTAAACTACAAATAAATTCACTCTTGACTCTTGTGTATTGATCCTTTGGTTCAACTTCTCTGTGACTGAATGCAGGTTCATTGTTTGAATATTCATTATGATTTCAGGAGCTTGAGCAGAAAATCATCTCTGTGATGAAGAGTGAGTTAAAAAGCTTTAAGAGACTATTGAGTCCAGATTACCCAGAATGCTCTGAAAGAGACCATTATGATGATGAGGGTCATAACAGAGTCAGAGAGGGTGTTCTGAAGATCACACTGCACATCCTGACGAAGATGAACCAGACAGACCTTGCTAACACACTACAGACCAGTAAGAGCTCTGATCATCAGATTATAGCCTGTCAAAACACTTCATTCTTCAGTCACTAATGTTCCTGATGTCATGACACAATCTAAATAACATTTTATTACCAAGTATTGTTTTATTGTTCTGTTTATTCAATTTTGATCAATTAGTTATTAGTAAATAACAACAATTATTTTCTTTGCTCAGAACTGATGCCTGTGTATCAACAAAAACTGAAATCCAGACTACAGGATAAATATCAGAGAATCAATGAAGGAATGTCCAATCATGGAGACTCAACACATCTGAATGAGATATACACAGAGCTCTATATCACTGAGGGAGGGAGTGGAGAGGTCAGTAATGAACATGAGGTGAGACAGATTGAGACAGTGTCCAGGAGACCAGAGACACAGGAGACACCAATCAACTGCAATGACATATTTAAACCCTCACCTGGACAAGACAAACCCATCAGAACTGTGCTGACTAAAGGAGTCGCTGGAATTGGAAAAACAGTCTCTGTGCAGAAGTTCATTCTGGACTGGGCTGAAGGAAAAGCCAATCAGGATGTTCATTTCATATTTCCACTTCCTTTCAGGGAGCTGAATGTGATACAGAAAAATCTCAGTCTTGTGGAACTACTAAATCACCTCCACCCAGAATCCAAAGAAATTAAATCGGCAGATTATGATGGCTACAAAGTCATGTTCATATTTGATGGTCTGGATGAGTGTCGACTACGTCTAGATTTCCAAAACAATCTGAGCTTGTCTGATGTAACAGAATCAGCCTCAGTGGATGTGCTGCTGACCAACCTCATCAAGGGGAATCTACTTCCTTCTGCTCTCCTCTGGATCACCTCTCGACCAGCAGCAGCCAATCAGATCCCTCCTGAATGTGTCGACCAGGTCACAGAGGTACGAGGATTCAAAGACCCTCAGAAGGATGAATATTTCAGGAAGAGAATAAGTGATCTGAGTCTGGCTGATAGAATCATCACACACATCCGATCATCGAGAAGTCTCTACATCATGTGTCACATACCAGTCTTCTGCTGGATTTCAGCCACTGTTCTAGAGAGGATGATGGGTAAAGCAGAGAGTGCAGAGATTCCCAAGACTCTCACACAAATGTTCATACACTTCCTGATATTGCAGACTAAACTGAAGACTCAAAAGTATGATGGGAATTATGAAATCAATCCTCGTCAGGCTAGAAAGACTATTCTGTCTCTCGGAAAACTGGCTTTTGAACAGCTGGAAAAAGGGAACCTGATCTTCTATGAGGAGGACCTGAAAGAGAGCGGCATTGATGTCAGAGAAGTGTCCGTGTACTCAGGAGTTTGTACCCAGATCTTCAGAGAGGAGTTTGGACTGCAGCTGGTTAAGGTGTACAGCTTTGTTCATCTGAGTGTTCAGGAGTTTCTTGCTGCTTTATTCAAGCTTCTGTCCTCTTCTGAACAAAACAAAGGACTGTGGAATATGTTCAGGTCACGTGGTTCAGATCATATGTTCATGACCAGTTTACTGAAGGGAGAAGTGGACAAGGCCTTACAGAGTGAGAACGGACACTGGGATCTTTTCCTCCGATTCCTTCTAGGTCTCTCACTAGAGTCTAATCAGACTCTCTTACAAGGTCTCCTGAGAAAGACAGTAAGCAGCTCTCAGTGCAACCAGGAAACAGCTGAATACATTAAACAGAAGATCAGGGAGAATTGCTCTCCAGAGAAATCAATCAACCTGTTTCACTGTCTGAATGAACTGAATGATCGTTTACTAGAGCAGGAAGTACAAACATACCTGAGCAGAGCAGGTGCCCGTCGTCTCTCTAGAGAACTGTCTCCTGCTCAGTGGTCGGCTCTGGTGTTTGTGCTTTTGAACTCAGAAGAAAAGCTGAATGAGTTTATACTGAGTAAATATGATCCATCAGAAGAATGTGTCATGAGGCTGCTGCCAGTGATTAAAGCGTCTAGAAAGGCTGAGTGAGTATTTTACAGTGTCTTTGTTTTATTGACTTTATTTTATACAGTAGGCCTGTGTTTCTCTACACTGTTTCTGTATTTTTTGAGGTCTTTCTTATTTGACACACCCAGTTGATATCATAGAGCACTTTACTAATGACCTGATGAGCTGAATCAAGTGTGTCAGATAAGAGAGATTCATCCAAACTTTGAGGAGCTTCCAGGAACAGGGCTGTGACTCTCTAAAACTGAGCAATTCCAGCATTACGGATGTGACATTTGCAGTCAAAATTTGAAATATAAATTCTCATAGAATGCGTATTCATTACCAATATATTGAACTATCACTTTATTATTTTTCCTAAACTTCTGACAACAGAGTCCATACACAAGAAATATCAGTCTATAAATGTGTTTTATATTTTGGATGAGGATAATACGTGTTACGGACATGACAAAAAAAGAAGTGAGTTTTTGGGATACAACATATTTTGTAGATTTTTGTGAATTATAATGCACAAACCAGAAGCAACAATATCCACATAATGGAGAAGGGTTGGCTCTTCACAGGACATAAAATATATGTTTTATTTAAATTTTTGTTTTCACATTTCAGAAGAAAAACTCTTACAGACGTGACAGTTCTGAAAGCAGAATTTATCAGACTATAGAAACGCATGTGAAATGCTTTGAAAACTTTTAACAGAGACTCTGCTGGGTTTTAAACCCTCTGGGATCTGAGGGGGTTTTGGGGCCCTGGAGAAGTTTTGACATGCCCTGACATTTGTGCTTTATTCAGTATCTTAAAAACATATTAATAGCTAAAGTCTAAATCCACAGTATTCAGCACAAACTGGGCTACAATAATATGTAAGCAACCTGAATGTACATGTTCCCTTTCAGTCGGTTACTCTCGACGTCACGTTGGTGACCGACAAATTGGGATCTCGCTTAGAGAGACCAATCTACTTCGAGTGTAAACTAAATGAGCCAATGCACATTGGCATGCGATTATTGCATCCAGCTGCCGCTGATCACAGCGTGAGCATAAAAAGGCAGCACGTGCAACGCATACCAGCTTTTCGCTTCAGAGCCAAGCGACAACATCATTCCGCTCCTACCAAACTGCTTCGTGTGTGACGAGTTCAGCGCACTCTAGGGAGCTTCTTGTGTTGGTGGACGGCGCTTCAGCGGTGGTCGTTCCTGTTTCGAGTGGGTTGCGCACTTCAGGCTGCACTACCCCCTGTCGTGCTGCAAACGGCCATTTCCCTTGTGCGTCTCAGCACCTAAAAGAGCATTTCCCTGAAAGAGCCTATTTCTCTAAAAGAGCTTACATGGGTGCGTCTTTGTAAAGATGACGGATTGTCTTTTTAAAGATTCCATTTCACCCGTGCGTGGCATCTTTAAAGGTGGCGTTCGCGGATGAGTCATGTTCCCATTGCGGGAAGATGACCATCTCAGAGCTGCGGGCCAGGCTCCGTTTCCTCCAGGGGACAGTGCTCCGTTGTCTCTGCCGCGGTCTAGTGCTCATCCTGGAGGTTGCCAGGCGACGGCTACTTCCAACAGTGGCACAGATGGTTAGAGGATTACAGCGATGCCAAACCCCTCAGGGAACCAACCCTCGGGGGACCATCGGTGGAGGAACGCGCTGGGCCCTCTTCAAAGAGCGTACCAGCAGTATCCTTCGGTGCTCCTCCCGACAACCGGATGTCGATCACTGCATCGGAGGGAGAGCTCTCTGGAGAGGAAGATTCGGCTGCGGTGCCGCCCTCCGGGACGGTGGCAATGCCTGAATCAGATTCAAAGATGTCGACAATGCTTTCCTGGGCCGCTGAGAGGGTAGGGTTCGAGTGGAAATCTCCACCCCGTCCCGAGCCCTCGAGGTTGGACGATTGGTTTCTCGGGGTGGCTCGCGCTGGTTCTCAGCACCCCACCTCGGTGCCTTTCTTCCCGGAGGGGCATGAGGAGCTCACCAGGGCATGGACGCCACCTTTTACAGCCGAAAACTGATCTGCTGGTTCCTCCTCCCTCACCACCCTCGATGGTGGTGCAGCTAGGGGGTATATGGGGGTCCCCCCGGCGGAGCGGTCAGTCGCGATGCAGTTGTGTCCTAATACCGCCTCCACCCAGTGCCCCAGCCTACTTGTCTCCGAGGGCGGCCCCCTGCGTCAGCCCCCGCTTCCACACCGCATCCGCCCCACCTGTCCTGGTCCCCGTCAAACCTGGCGGTGAGCGGAAGAGCAAGAGGCCCCGGGATGGGCGACCCAGAGAGGGAGGAAGCTGTTCTTTGGGGGATGGTGAATCCTTGGAGGAGGGCTGGGTGGAGAATCTGGAAAATCTCGATGAGAGAGCTGTTTACTCTGTCCCTGGGTCCCAGGAGGGCACGGAGAGTCGTGGACGGACCAACACCGGACCACACTCATCCTCCTCCATCGCCAGCAGGCGGTTCGAGAGCGTCAACAAAGTCCCGCTTGCACGGTATCTGGGTGCCTGGCTAACGCTACCCAGCCTATCTCGCTGGGCTCTGCGGGCCATCAGCCTTGTCTATGCGATTTAGTTCGCCCGGCGTCCCCCAAGTTCAGTGTCATCCGCTTCACGACAGTGAAGGCGGCCAATGCTCCTGTCTTGCGTGCGGAGATCGCAGTCCTACTGGCGAAGGATGCGATAGAGCCGGTCCCTCCAGCCATTATGAATGCGGGGTTTTACAGCTCCTACTTCATTGTACCCAAGAAAGGCGGTGGGTTACGACCAATCATGTACCTGCGTGTCTTGAACCGGGCCCTTCACCGGTTACCGTTCAAGATGTTGACGCAGAAACGCATCTTCGAGTGTATCCGTCCCCGAGATTGGTTTACAGCGATCAACCTACTTTCATGTGTTGATCCTTCCACGCCACAGACAATTTCTGCGGTTCGCGTTCAAGGGACATGCATACCAGTACAAGGTCCTGCGCTTCTGGCTGTCCCTGTCTCCCCGTGTCTTCACTAAAGACTCTCTTGTTCCCCTCAGAGAGCACGGTATTCGCATCTTCAACTATCTTGGCGATTGGCTTATACTAGCACAGTCTCGAGATCAGTTGTGTGAGCACAGGGACCTGGTGCTCCGGCATCTCAGCCAGCTGGGTCTTCAGGTCAACTGGGAAAAGAGCAAACTCTCCCCGACACAGAGGATCTCT